CCAATGATTATTTATAAATAATTAGTGAATATATTTCATAATATTAATTCCAATTAAATTAACTATGATTATTTCTAACAATAATTACAAATTATATAGTACTACAACAGTAAACAGCATTATCTCATATTTTTCTTTGTCAATAGAAGATGTATTTATGAATTAGGCTGAATATAAAGTGGATCAGTATATTCTTAATAAAATTAAATCAATTGATAAAACTTGTATTCCATAGATTCTTTATCAATTATTCAATATATGGAAGCTTTTTTTATATACTCTGAGGCCAATTCCTAAAAGCATTAAGTTAAGATTTTTTCATTATCTAAATACAATTATAGCAAAACGCTTTCAATGATATTTATATATTAATAAATACTTATTTTGTACTCAAGCATCAACAGTTTATTATTAAAATTGTTTTAAATTGAATTATGTGATCTCTGCCCAATACAATATTTTATATTAAAATATTGATATTCTTTTAAATTTAATCTTTAAATATTTTTTATAAAAGAATTGAAGAAAGTATATAATACTTTCACTTAAGCGGAAATATGAATACCTAATTTAATTTAATTTATCAAATATTTCTTTGTTTTATTTAAATGCTTATTTATTTTTGGTTGATTTTTATAAATATCTAAAATACAGGTGATGTTAAATTATAAGTTCAATACTTGAAGTCATAGGAAAAGGTTTATATCTAATAATTTCAATTTTCAGGTGTTTAATTTTATTGTAAAGTTATTGTTGTCATCTCTTTTATTTTATGGAAAAAATCCAAATTTTATTAATTTTCTCTCAAGTTGATCATTACCAACAGAATACAATAAAGATTTCACTAATTCTTAATAATAAATGTATTCCAAATAAAATCTCAACAATAAACAAGGTTGATACAATTAAATAAGCTAAAATCTATTCAAATCCATTCAAAACTAAAAATATATATCATTATAACTTGTTTTTAAGGTTATTTATATTTACAGGAAATTGATATATCAATATGGTATATTAATAAAAATAAATATTTCATTTAAGTATTAACTACTTAAATCCATTTTAGACCATTTTCAAGTCCTTCACCAGTAATTACACAACAAGGTTGTATATGCCAATTCTTAGCAAATTTTTGAAGATTTAATTCAGAAGCCAAATCAGAAGGGCTCATTTATGATAAATCTTATTTATTTGCATATATTAAAGTTGTTAAGCCAAGAAGTAAAGTATCAAGCAGCAACCTATATAATTCGTCTTTTGCTTCACTCATTCTTTCTTTGTCAGAACAATCAATAACATAAATTAATCCATTGCTATTCTAAAAGTAAGGCTTCCAAAGTGTTCTTATTTTATTAGCTCCTTCAATTTATATCAAATTATTTACTTTAAATTTTCTCTAAATTAAATGCAATTATTGGAACTAAACTTTCAATATCTCCTAATTTTAATTTATATAAAATAGTTGTTTTTCCTGCTGCATCTAATCCCAGTTTCTATCAAATTTTTATATGTTGATTGATGTTAATTTTAAATTTCAATAGCCTTAGATTATTACGGCATTGACATCTTCTTATATTATACTTAACTTATGATTAGCTTTTTTGAAACCTAATTAAGCTGCTTTAAACCTTATCATAAACCAACTTGTTTCTTGTGTTCTTAAATCAATTTTGAAAACATAATTATATATACAGCTCTGATAAAGTTCTTGCAAATTCATATAACTCACCTTTATATCGTAAACATTATTTATCAAATATTTGCCTGTTATATTTGACTCACATGTGTAATAATGTGTAATGCTTATCCTAAAAGTTCCATCTTTCTTGGTTGCTGGTCTGATACTGTTTTGCCATAGACTCTCCTTTGTTTTATGTATCTCCATATTTTTTCAAATAGACAGTTATTTTAATGTGTCGAATAATATTGACTATAATTAGGCAGTTCAATCTTATAAATCGCCTTCTAAAATTTTTTTTTTTTGTGTCTTTTAACATCTCAGGCTATTCATTTAATTATAATAATGTAGTCATTTTCTTTAATGTCAAATGGCTTTTAATACAAATATTCTAGATTGTTGTAATTGATTGTTCCAATTGTTAGACTGGGCTAAATTTTTTTGGGTCTTATAAATATTTTCCTGTCAAATTAATGTTCCAAAAAACAATATGCTCTTATATTATGTATTAAAAAACGAAAACTTATCGTCATGGATAAACTTTTGTAAAATAAGAATGTGGAAAAGAACTAATTTAGTAGTCTAAATTAGTATAATTAATTCACTTTATTAACGCTCTTAAATTTCTATTTTGATTTTTTTATCACCTATTGATTTCTTTTTATTTATTGTCTATGTTCTCAATAATTCTTTTGTTCCAAAAAATATGATATTCACAATATTTTATTCTCTATCAATTGTTTCCTTTAAATATTAACTCTTCTTAGAAAACTATTCATGCTATCTATTCTACTATTATTAATCCTATTGCCTCTCTCCATATTACATTTTTTATTAGAATAATAATTTCTTGATATTATTACAAATATTTTTATGAGTTTTTATTAGATTTCCTCTAATAAATAGACAGGAATTGTAACTCAACCAAATATAATCTTAATGCAAATTTATTTTTAAGGGTACTATATAAGTGCTTATTAATATATTGCCTTGATAATAAGTTAAAGTTATTTCAGCAAAATTGAATAATTTTGAAGGCTTCATTATATGCTTAAGATTATGTTTATTCTTTTATTTTCAGTTAAACACAAAAGCTCGTCCATTCTCTAATCCTTTAGGTTCTTAGTTACGATTATCTCTTTAGTAAGTATGGAGGGGCCAGGTTGATTTGAAAATTAAATAATGAATAGT